CCCCCTCGACCAAGTTCTCGACGAAGGAATAACTACATCCTTCGCATCACAAGTTTGTCTGGAAGAGATCGTTTTCGCGATAAGGCCGCCCATTGTTTTCTTTGTGGGATCTTTTATCTGTTAATTTTGTTTCCCTTAAGCATTCTTTGTGTATATGTATAAGTATGTATACTATTATGTATTTTAGAGGAAATAATAAAGAGTATTTATTGTCAGTAATATCTATACATGTTATTTGTTAGTTTTTATCCGTGACTTTATCTCAAATACTACGTATATACCAAAATTCATAACGATTGGTCGAGCCATTAAAGCGTCAAGAGATAACGAACAAATAAAAAATTCACTTTTACGTTTATAATATAAAGGAGTAAGTATATCAAGGTACGAATGTTTTTTTATAACAATGGATAAACGAGCATGGGGCTCGCCTGATGGTAAGTAACTACCGCTGCCCATGAGCACCTGCATCACCGGAGAAATTGCAGATATGCTGCCGGCCTTTTAAAAAGGATGCTATATTCTCGAAGGTTACGATGTCGTATTGATTCGGAAATACTGCTACTGGAAGTTGGTTCCAAAGCGTGGCTGGGCGGGGAAGAAAGTCACCATTCATTCATATCATCCTTTAACTGTCTACTGCTGAACGTAAGCCTCCTCCTTGCGGGGTTTTATCAGTAATTGCCATGTTTGGCAGGCGGATTGCCAATCGCAGTCAGATTTTAGACATGTTTTAAGAGGGACGCTGCTGTCCATCCCTCGCCCTCCCTTAGTCGTCTCTTACGACACCCACGGGAAAGGAAGAGGTGGCCTCTTTTATGCCAAGACCATACAGGAAATGGAAGAACGTACCTTGATTTATTTCTATCAAAGTCAAAAACATATTTGAATTTTTTTAATAGTGAGATCACTAAGATCATAAAAATTTAAATATGTTATAAAATATTTAGTTAGCAAAAGTATTACATTTATAATACTTTTAAATACCAATTGATCGTTATCTTTGATAACATTGAAGTGTCAGATGCAATGTTGCATTGTTTGTCAACACAAACAAAACGAGAACAATTAGCATTTATATATTTTGTTGTGACATTTTTGTAGTTTTGTTATACAACACTGAAGGTTTGTTTACAAACAATATTTACATTTGAGATTGAAGATAACTATGTAATATAGACTTCTTTACAAAGAATATTCTTAGCATTAGTAAAACTTGTTCTTGCGATAAATATAAATGTCAAAATACATATGTATGTTTGTTATGTTTTTAAGTTTAATTTGCGGAACTCATTTCGACTCGGGAATTAACGGTACACGACAAAAGACGAGTTACACTGGCATATTTTATTAATTCATCTCATCTAAACTCATTACCTACGACTATTGGCTAATATATTGCCATTTTGTTTCTTTTCCTTATTTTTGCTAATAGGCTAGTTAATTTTTTAATTTTATTTAATTTTATTTAACCTATTTAATTTTTTTCGAATTATATCAATATGATATTTATGTAAATAGACTGCAGTCTCCACTAAACCACCATAAAAGCACTTTTATTTATATATTACCTACTCGTTTATAAAATTCACCAACTAATTGTCATTAATCGTCAAAATCATAAAACCAAGACACATTAAATTTTGTAGTTGTTAATTACATAAATAAATATTAATGTACTATTGCTACACATGATTATCTCTAACACAGAAAGGGAGGTCATTAGTCTATTCGTATTATCAAAGCTGATGGCAGTTTAGTATGGTTTCATTCATAGTTTTCCTCTCTTTCATTACTTCACGTTTTTTCTCAGTTGCTTTATACAATAGTGTTAATACGCAATATTTTTACTTCTTTACTGATGAAAGAATTCTTGATTTACACCTTAATACTTAATAGAAGAATCCGTGAAAGAATAAATCTTAGAGCAATGGGAATTACTAGCAATATACAGTATATTGCTCGTAATTCTCGTTGCTCTGAGATTTATTTTTATACTTAGATTGCTGCCTAACCTTAACATGGCTCCCTCTGGAAACCATCGTTGTTATTTTTGATGAATTCCTCACGACAGATATACTAAACTGACTTTATTATCTCCTATCATTCTTTACTACTCCAGGCTCTGTTAGCAAATATCTATAGCGCAAGCGTAATGCTATTCCATTATGATTCGCCAACAAACATAAGTCTCTCTAATAAATTGTATACTTTGATTTAAAAATATTGAAAACAGCAGGAAGAATGTTTAAAAAGTCTAAATTATTATACAAGCACTTGTGGCATAATTTAATTTATTTCAAACGATTATAAATAACTTTAACAAAGGAAAAATGTCGAGCTCGTTGCCCAAGAGCGTTGACCAAGCGTCGAGCATGCTCCAACTGTGAAATCGTATTAAGTGAATGTCATTTTAGCAATGTGATTTGCAGGGTTCAATAGAACTTCAATGGCTTGTTGACAATAATGTAGGTAATTGTATGTTTTATTTGGGTAATTTCGAATTTAACCCATACTTAATATTACTAACGTGAAAGTGACATTGCTTGTTACTTCTTGACGCCTTAATAGTTCGACTAATCGCCAGAAATTATATAGTACACATGTACTTCCTTATTCCAACAAAAGTCAAACCCCTCATAAACCTACTTTAGCTATTGAAGTGTTTTTGTCCTTTTGTGCTAATTTCTCAATTTCAAAGACAATGACAAAGCATTCTAATTGTTAAAAAAGGTTTGTAGGATGTTTTAGTTTTTATAAATAAGAGGGTAGTATTTAGTATGGAAAAGGACAGAATATGTTACAGCGAGTTAGCAAATTATACTTGTATATGAGTATACCGTTTTAAAAAAGGAACGTACACCAATCTTGAGCAAATTAGTAACAGTTAATGAAAGCAACACGATAATAAACACTTTCGATTGAAAAATCGTTAAAAAGATAATAAAATCAGTTTATTAAAAATAAACTCATCTATTATTTTGATTGAAAATATTGATTACTTTTAGTGATGTCACAATAAAAAGTTAACTTTACAAAAATTAGAACTGGATTCGATTCTCGGATGTTCAGAATCTAGTTTCTATTAACACAGTACATTGAAACAAACATTAGTACAATCTATCTTTACGCGTAGATCTTGTATCTTGAGACTCCATTATCAGACCTTAATTACTGTCTGCAAACTAGTTATCTAAACCAATTTATGGAATTAAAACACGGTGCATTTGCGTTAATTACAGAAGAAATCCTGTAACCATCTCTTATAAGATCAGCTATTAGACATTATATTACTTTGTGAATCTCAGTCTAATAACAGACTAAACATATACTATGGCAGTAATGAATAATAGAAGAAAAAAACCACAAATACTGAGATAAGGACAAGGTCATCACGATTATTACTGCAAGTGAATAATTAGCTTCATTTAAAGTCGGACACATTATTTGGATTACGTATTACTGATATCATACATAGACTTTATTTTAAAAATAAATAAAAATAACATCCAGTAAAAGTATTTTAATTCGAGAGATTATAACATTTGGAATTTTCAACGCGTATGTTTGGAGTTCATATCTGTTTTATAGTCTCGTTTGTTTTATTTTTATGCAACTTGGATGGCAGATAAGCTGACAGATCTAATAGAAAGTAGTAACCATCCTCTCTAGACGTAAACAACATTATTCATGTCAAAAACCATGTGACCCTCCTTTTCAGTTCATAGAAAATGCATATAATATGTGCAAAATGGCCAAAATAGGTATTGTTTTCTTTCAGTGAATGTTCAAAATGAACTTTGAAGAGAAGTTATGGTATTACAGGAGTTTGGGATCAATGCAAAGTATACAGTGTAAATCCTAAGTATAGACCAAATAATAAGGGCAACCGATGATGATAAGAACCTATTTAGATGACAGTTTTATCTGGCTCTCTTCCCTGTCCTTTTATCTTATCTGTCTCTGCATTACGAGCTTTATGGACATGATTGCATCCTAAAACTATTGATAAGAGAGCTTTGATAAATATTATGGTAATGTTCATATATATTCCTATACAAAATTATTAGGAAATGGTAATCCTGGTAACATACAAGTTGTATGATATTTTTATGAATAAAAAGGGGATAATGGTTGGATTACTTTGGCGGAACCAATAAAGGATGATGATAGACAATGAGGATGAAGTAAGGTCAATTGGCCTATCGTGATGATTTTATCAGGAATTAACGCACATGGAATTGACCTAATAGAGTATATTGCTAACAAATATGACCCACCGAGATTTCAATTAGGTATTATAAAAACCATTTTACTATATTAAAGTCAGTTACAAAATGTTCTAACGTAAAATTACTTATTAAAAAGATAGGTATAACGTACTCATTAAAAAAATAGATACTTGTAGTGGTGACTATTTCTTACAATGGTAAAAAAAATACGGCCAGTTTAAGGGTAGGTAGATGATATCTCACCCCGTCCGATACCTGCAAAATTCTACGAAAATACTACTTCCTGAGAAATTACCTTACACCTGAATGTAGTTGGGTATAGCATTTATATACTGCAGTTTCTTTATAGATTCTTAATGCCTTTTGCATGTTGTTATCTTCGTATATTGAAAACCGGTATTATATTTGTTCCGATGGAATCGAATCTAGGAACGCAACTCTCCTTTGCTAACGCAACTCGCGTTACTTCCGCGAATTCTTGTTTTTGCGGTAATATAATATGCATATTAGCAGTAGGTATATTTTAGTGACTTTCTATTTGACTGTGTCATAACAAAATATTCAAAGGCTCAGTTCATCGGAATGCTGACAGTTATTAACGTTCTTGTTATTGAAGACAAAGTTTTCAATTCATTCGTTTTACAACATTCAATTCACAGACGTTCAACTACGAATGCGGTGGCCGGTGCAACTATTTAGCTAAAATCTTCAATCGTTAATAGAAGATCCCCTAACAAAATAAGAATACAAAATTCACTAACCACTTACCTTATTAATCCGTGTCGTGACTACAACACAAAACAATCCCGGAATTTAACAAATTTTACCAAGAATGATAACCACTTTATTTGACCTGTAATAAAACTTTCATAACACTGTCCTTGTGTTAAAAAACTTCTTGAGCTTTTATAGCTCACGTTCTTAAAAGTATCAATTTAGTTTTTTCGATCTCACACTATGTTCAATGTAACACCAATTAGCAATGATTACTTTTGATTTATTTTTTTAACTACAGCAATATACGTTCGCACAACGTCGCAGTTCGCGGTTCACTGAAGGAAGAGAAGTGAAGAGACACGTCACTCGCTGCGCCCGCGCAGAGCTCACCTTTGGTATGGAGAATGTCGATTGATAGATCTTGATCAGTTTAAGAAAATTACGATCATCTTCTTACTTTATTGTAAAACAACTTGTAAAAAAATCGATATTTCAAATTTGTTTAAAAAAAAAATTTTAATATCGAATATACCTTAACTTTCATTCCAAAAAACTAAAACAGGTGACTTACTTTTATTTACAAAAAAAAAACTAGAATAAAATTTTGTATGTTTCAAGTTTAAAATTTTTTCAAACACTTTCATTCCTCTTTTTGACTTTGAACTAAACTTTTGAAAATTATTTGCTACTCCTTCTCCTCTAAGTAAGAGCTTACTATGTGAATTTAATTTTTATAATTTTACTAGTCTATAAAGTATATATGTCAACCAGTGACGTTAAAGAGATGAGAATAATAAACAATAACCCATCACATTATACAAGTATAATTAAAAAATATGGTCTGAAATCAGTCAATCAAAAACCTCTGTTTAAAACCCCGAACGTTCAATATTTAATTTAACGGAAGTTTTGACGTTACATATTGATTAAATAAATAGATTAGATAGATATTATCCGGAAGTGAAGACGCATTACTACGCGTCAAACCTTGTGCCTTAAATATATGTAATATTTGTTTATTTAATTTTTTATAGTTTACTTATTTATTTTTATAATTTTATAGCACGGACATACATATATCCGTGTTATAAAATTTTACAACATGTTATACTAATATAACATTTATTTAGTCAATTAGTTGATCCGTTCCATCTTTTTTATTAATAATTTTATTAAAAAATACTAATGTTTTTTATTTACATTTCATTGTTTTTTTAATAAAGTTAATCTAGAGAGCCACAGGCGAAGAACTTAGTGTATGCTAATACAAATCCATTACTATAATTGTGGTAATGTTTAATTTCATTAAAAATAAAATAAATACCTACTGTAAGTTTTTAATATTCTACCATCAATTTATTATCATTATATTATAGAAATATAAACATTCTAATTTAATGTTTATTATTTCATTATATACATTATTATAAGACTACTAGCTTAGATAGTTAGCTTAAAATAATTAGATAATTTTTGGTCAAAAAAAAAATATTACACCAACAGTCTTCCAATGTATAAAAAACTTATAATTATTATCATTATAACGATAGAAGGTATCAAGTATCAAGGCAATGCGATCCGCACATAAACCGCCGACATCCCGTGGAGCGGCCTCGATATTCGGCCGGCAGTCACATAGCACCTCTCTACGCTCCATCTAACCAACTCGACACAGCTCACAAGAGCATTGCCAGATTCAATAGTTTATCGTAATTCTGGGTAACATTTTTCTTCTAGAGAGTTGCAGAAATGTTCAAAGAAAAAAATTAACATAGATAATTTTAGGTATTTTAATGTTTGAAATAAATGTTTGCATTTGTAACCTAAAGTGCAATTCCGTTAAAATTCGACTTTTTATGTAAAAAGATGGCAAACGAATAAGCGAGTTGGCCGATGGTAATATCGTAGCCTGTAGATTATAGCAACAATAAAGGAGGAGTTTAAAAAATTTATTAATTCTTTTTTTTAAATATCACCATGTCGAAGTTGTAGATTTTTCCCGTCGTCCATCATCATCATCATTTCAGCCATTATCTGTCCACTGCTGGATATAGGCCTCCCCCATAGACTGCCATAAGGAACGATCCCGTCGGCCATACTAGTAGTTAATTACTTGGTAGTACAAAATCTATTCTAAGGAATCATTTTGGGGAAAAATTATGAAATTGCAATTGGCAGCCCTGGCTTACAAGTAAAATTGTTCACGAGACGGTTATCCACAAAAAATATTATATACGAGTATCAATAATTAAAGGTGCCCTAGAAATTTACAAGTAAGGCATTATTCAAAATTAAATAGCAATTTATCTAACACTGTCCGCTTTAAAGCAATGAAGCACTCTCGTTTTGTACTTACAGATAAATCATTAATTTGTTATGGGCTAGCTTGAAACGCTCGAGGGGATATTTTACATCCTCTAAAGAAGAACAATTAGCTTTTAATGGAACTTTCGTACTTTTGTGTTCTAATTAAACGTAATACTTCTGTCTACAAAGCAAGGGACGTCTGTCTAAACGCACCTTTTAGTGTTTGCAGAAATCTGTCATAAAACACTCGTCGCGCTGGAGGTGTCAGACGCGTATTTTAGGACCCCGTCTGGTTAAAACCCTAATTTGCGTCATAGTCTCTTCCTCATAGAGCCGGAGTCATAGGTTTCCTTCTGCTTTCTACCGCAGCACAAGTGGCAATAGCTAACATAAACAAATCCTATACCTCATTTGCAAATACTTAACTTTTCCTCCACCTCCCAGGAGCATATTGTAAGGTCTACAGCACTCCTGGAGCTTCGACGTTGTGATGTTTGTACTAAAAGATTAATTAACTAATTACAATAAGTTTTTTTTTTAATTGATAAAGACAAGTATGAAGTCACGTCAGTTGCCTCGTTGTAGGAAAATCACCAGCAACAAAATTAACCACTATGGTTTCATAGGGATTAGCATGTAGGTTGACCTGAAAGAATTTTGATGCACAGTTGCAATCCATAAATATATTTCACCAGAGGGAGACTTTGTACAAAAGTCGTTTGCTTGGGTACCTCTGTCCCATTCGTGTTTTAACCGTGTTTCGGTTTGAAGGGATATGGCGTGAATTTACAGGATACAGAGGAATAACACCTGAGTCTTCAGGAATGGCAACGCATGGGGGGTATCATGGGCGAAACAGTATAGTCTGTTATGTGCATGGTACTGCTCATGTCTATAGGCGACGGTTACCACATTCCATCAGGTGGGCCATCAGCTTGTATGCCATTCTAAGTTGTATAAAAAGAAATATACAACTACTGAAACAAATTCCCTCATTCAAATCGTAGCAAATAGTGCAGTTTGAGAGAAGCTTCTTCTTGCGACGAACGATATAGGCTGTTATACTGTTAATCCCATTTATGGTACAAAACAAACACCGTTAGAACGTTATTTCAAAATGTATTCCATAATATATCTTTACGCCGAGTGAAGAAATCTACTCTCTTCTTTATATCTAATCCGTAGTAAAGGATAATTGCAGCCTCTTGTTTAATTTTCTAATGTACGCAGAGACTTGATTTCTCAGAGTATACAATTTATCTAATCATGCTGCCTGTCTAAGTACCTCTGTAAGTAAACGTTAACAATAAAAAAAGAATCATACAAAACAGTCCAGACCTCTGAGCTACATTCCCTATACTTACGCCAAAAATTATAAAAGAACCTTATCTGGGTTCCCTCAAGATACTGTTCAAATCGGAAAACTGACTTGTACAACTGTAACTGCATTGAACAAGTACAGACATACATATGATTTGTTCATTTCGTATAAGTTACATACATACAGAGAATTGCTTAATTGTTGATATTGGAAAACGCTTCTAGAATTTAATGTAAACATTCTTAAGAACATCCGATATTCTTTTAACGATATTGTATCTTAGATATTGATAAATTAACACGATATGTAATTTATATCCAATTGAAAAATAAAACTATGATACTAATTGTTGTGCTGTACACATAATTAATTTACGTAATTAAAAATATATTAAAACAAACATAAAATGTTTTTAGGTCAATATTTTTAAGCTTCCTTCTTCCGTTCTGCATTGTATATATAGATTTCCGTAAAAAGCCTTGATGAAAGTTAAGGTTAACATTAGCTAATTATATATATATGTATATGTGTATATATATATATATATATATATATATATATATATATATATATATATATATATATATATATATATATATATATATATATATATTCGAGGGGAGGGTGGGATTGTTAGTAATAAAGATGCTTTTTTCTGTTGTAACCTTGTTATTGCACCCCATACCTTCCAAACAATTGCAATTAATTCTATGTAACCTTTTTATTAATGGATGAAAATGGAATGGTAACCCCGGTTGCGCTATCGGTAGACGCTGGCAGGGCACCAGTAAAGTGAAGTGTGGATGATCAGTCCACACCAGGCCAGTTGGTTCATAATAAGACCAATTGAACAAGAATTAACCACTATGGTTTCCAGGGGGATTCGTGTGGAGGTCGACTTGATAGGGTGTATTGCTAGCAATGAGGTCGTTAAATCTCATTACTAACAATTCCTTTTCTCCCTCCAAGTGACCTAACAGTTGTTCCGTCATCGTATACCGATAGCATACACGGTGGGTACCATTCATTTTTATTTGCAGCATTAGGTTAGCAATTTCTTAGTTGCAGCATTAGGTTAGCGGTTCAATTTATACAAATACGCTAAACCTTTATTATTAACCGCAAATCGTTAATTTAAAATTAATTTGAACATGAACTCTAAAACAGGGTATATTTGATTTGACAACAGTAATATTAGAAATTTTCAATTTCGCGAAACGAGCCTCTAACAGGAAGGCCTGTTAATACGTATATCAATAATAATACATTAATCAAACTTTTTAAATTTCACGATAAAAGTTGCATATTTTTACGTTATTTCTCACGATCGTAAAAAATCAATTTTCACTGCTTATTGGGTACGATAAATGGAATTTTATCTAGCTATTTAAAACTAATATTTTAGCTATTTAGTGAAAAGCTATCACTTCAGTATTTGTTCGTGTTGCTGGCAATTTGCCCAGCCGGCCTTTTCCATGTATTTGTATGTTTATATCCTTTTCTTTTATACATTCTTTTCCATATATTTCTTTTTCAACCGAGTTAAAAAAGAAGGAGGTTCTCAATTCGGCTGTATTTTTTCATAACTCCATTAGATCTAAACCTATTTGGAAAATTCTTTTTTCATCTGAAAGAATATACTTACGGATTGATCCCATAAAAATTTTATCAAAACCGGTTTAAAAAAAATAACTGGGCGTATCATGGGCGAAACAGTATACTCTGTTA